ATAATTTTAGCATCTCGGGGCCCTCTTGGGAGGCCTCTTGGAGGCCTCTTGGGACGTCTTGGAGGCTTCTTGGCCCGTCTGGGGGCCATCTTGGGCGTCTTGGAGCATCTTGGAGCGATCTTTCGGCCGCTCGGGGCCCTTTCGGATCGTCTTGGGGGCCTCTTGGGGCTCTCTTGGAGGCCCCGGGTCCCCCCGGGGTGCGTTTGGGAGCTCGTGCCCCCACCGCCGCTTTCTGAGGGCCCTAGAGAAGCGTCCAGGAGGGACTCCGTGAGACCCTTGTCCAACTCCGTCTGACGGAGTTGGAACTGATACTTGCTAGGACCATCTTGGAGCCATCTTTGGGCCCTCTTGGAGCCATCTTAGGGCCGTCTTGGGGCCCTCCTGGGCCCTCTCGGGGCCCTGCTGGAGCTTTCTGAGGGCCCTAGAGAAGCGTCCAGGAGGGACTCCGTGAGACCCTTGTCCAACTCCGTCTGACGGAGTTGGAACTGATACTTGCTAGGACCATCTTGGAGCCATCTTGGGGCCCTCTTGGAGCCATCTTAGGGCCGTCTTGGGGCCCTCCTGGGCCCTCTCGGGGCCCTGCTGGAGCTTTCTGAGGGCCCTAGAGAAGCGTCCAGGAGGGACTCCGTGAGACCCTTGTCCAACTCCGTCTGACGGAGTTGGAACTGATACTTGCTAGGACCATCTTGGAGCCATCTTGGGGCCCTCTTGGAGCCATCTTAGGGCCGTCTTGGGGCCCTCCTGGGCCCTCTCGGGGCCCTGCTGGAGCTTTCTGAGGGCCCTAGAGAAGCGTCCAGGAGGGACTCCGTGAGACCCTTGTCCAACTCCGTCTGACGGAGTTGGAACTGATACTTGCTAGGACCATCTTGGAGCCATCTTGGGGCCCTCTTGGAGCCATCTTAGGGCCGTCTTGGGGCCCTCCTGGGCCCTCTCGGGGCCCTGCTGGAGCTTTCTGAGGGCCCTAGAGAAGCGCCCAGGAGGGACTCCGTGAGACCCTTGTCCAGCCCCGTCTGACGGAGTTGGAACTGATACTTGCTAGGACCATCTTGGAGCCATCTTGGGGCCCTCCACCACCCCTTAAACGGCATTTTGGACACCCGGGGAGGGGGAAGGGGAAGGGGGACAACCAAATGTCTCACACGCCTTTTCACCCCCAGCTAGCGGGGGTCGGCGGATATGTTTGCAATAGACTTTGACAAATCATGTCGCAACGAACAAATGTGTATCCCTGGCGCAGAGTCAACTTGTTTGTTCGGAGATATGACGGATGTTTGGTCAGACACGATAAGAGGAACAATGAAAACATCTTCTCGGACATCACCGTACCCAACTAAACATGAGTACTTGGATATAATGCGAGATGTAAGATCAGTTGGGTCAACTGGTTGGTGTTTTAGACATTGTCGCTATTGCGTGTTCAAGAGAGCCCGAATACATGTAGGAGGTCCGCCATGCGTTGATTTCTCGCCGCAGGGTTCAAGAAATAAATCAGCTGGAAAAACGCGGTTAGCATTTGTATCGTGGGTCGCCCACAGGCGGAAACTAATGGAACCGATTGTGATACATGAAAATGTAGAGGGATTTCCTTTAGAGGAGTTGGCATTCTTCCTAAATGATTTATACGTGCTTTTTACTGTTATGACAAATCCAAGCGAACTTGGACATCCAGTGACACGGAAGCGGCGAATAACAATATTGGTGCTCAGAAGTGCAATGACGAGTGTCATAAAACCATGGTCTGGCGTGTACATGTCTTGCAGTCGGGTTTGTTGTATAACTTGGCATGATTTTCTGTTCGGTGGCATTGCTGGGGAACAAGAAAGTGAGTTGGCTTGGTCGTCCAAGAGACCGTCTTCGTTGAGTGCGGTCGGCACTTGCTCTTCCTTGGCACACATAGGGCCCGGACGCTTTCTCAGACTCAGACATCGTCAGCGTCTGGAGCAACTCAGATCGGTTTCAAAGTTTGCACAAACTCTCAGCCTCCGGGAGCTGATCTATCTGGACGGTTATATGACAAAGTGGAAAGGTGATCGCGCATACCAGTTGAACCAGAATCCTAAACATCATATTCAGATGAGTGGCGTGCGACAGATGATGACAGTGATAAGGAACGTGGACACGCTGTGGAGCGTTCGGCACAAACGATGGGTCATGCCACATGAGATGCTGTTGTTTCAAGGGTTTGCTGTGAGGTTTAAAGCGCATGGTGAGCGTGTGTCGTTTGATGCTAGCCGCCCGCATTGGCTCCCTCGACGCACGGGGCGCTCGATCCTACAGCAGACTGGGAATAGTATGCATGTGCACGTAATCGGTTTAGCATTGCTGTGGTCTGTCTTGTATGTGGTGCCCAAAGGCGATCCGCCAGCACTGCCACCAGACGTGCAGTTTGCATTGCTTGCATCCAGGCTAGCCCTTAGCACTGCCAGCAGTCGCAAACGCACGCGTGCTTGACACGCGCGTTACGGTATGCATGATTGGCATCTCTCAGGTCAGTCTGACCAGTCGGGGAGTGGAGATGTTGCAGCGTTGCCGTGACCGCTCAATGCTTAATGCGCGGGGCAAGAAGTCGTCGTCGTCCTCCTCCTCCTCCTCCTCCTCCACCTTCTCCTCCTCCTCCTCCCCCCCTCTATTTCCTCGTCGCGTAGTCGTCGTGACGACGACTACGCGACGAGATAGACGACGACTCGTCGTCTATTTCCTCCTCTCCCTCTTATCCTCCTCCTCTTCCTCCTCCCCCTCCTCCTCCGCTTCCCAAGCTGGGGGCGGGCGCCGCCGCTGCTGCCGCTGGCGGCCGGGGCCTCGCCGCGACGTCGGCCTCGCAGGCGTCCTCGCCCGAGCTCCGGCGAGGGAAGAGAGAGGATGAGCGGGGAGGAGGAAAAGGGGGAAACAATGAGGGGATGCCAGCGCCTACGCCAGTTGCCAGCGCCAACACCAGTTCATCTTTGAATCAGGGTTGCGTTTCGCAGTTGCCAGCGCCTACACCAGTACATTCTGTAGAAAATATGTCAACGCGAGCATCGCAAGCAAACGTAGCTGCGCCTACATATTTGAATCAGGGTTGCGTTTCGCAGTTGCCAGCGCCTACGCCAGTACATTCTATAGAAAATATGTCCACGCAAGCACGCAAGCAAACGTACCTGTGCCTACTACATCTCTGCCCATCGCAGTGGCAATGCAATGCAATGGTTGGCAGTGCGACGCGCGTCAAAGCATCGCAATTGCGTATCGGCCGTAGCACTTTTAGGTTCAGAATTTTCAGGTTTGTTGGCAGACTGTCAGACTTCAGTACGTGCGGAGATGGCCGGCCACAACGCTATCGCCCCACATGGCCGCCTCCGTTCCCGCTCTCCTCAGGAGTACCGCTATGTCGCAATCATTAGCTATGGTGGAAGTGTGCTAAAGGAGTTGGCCGATGACGAGATGGATTACCCTGAGAGTCCCTTTTGGCCGAGGAATCTGTACAATTGCCCTCGGGCACAGGAGGCGCACCTCAGCCATTCGCTCCGGAGCTATCGTGGCGTGTGGTTCTGCAACAAGTGCGGTCTTTGGAGTCGCCAAGGCGTCCCCAAGAAAATGAAGGAGGAGCCCTGCGCGGAGTATTGTAAGACATACTATGCTAGCAAATGCCTGGATAGGCTCATACAGGGAGCAGAAACACGCGCGCTGCTGCTACTCCTGTCTCGTCCCCCCTGATCTTATGCCACCTCCTCCATCTCTGTTCATCCACCCTCATCCACTCGGGCGCGAGTGCGAGTATTTCTGCTCCCTGCCAGCTATGGTTTTTACCCAATCCCTGGCAAGGACACCAGCAATTTCGATAGCGGCGACCATCGCATCGGGCGCCGCGTGCGAGCCAGCTTTGCGAGTGCCGCCGCGCAGAAGCCAGTAGGGCATCTGCAAGTGCACCGCCGCCGCCCATAGGCCAGGGCATTGCATGGGATGGGGGGGGGGGGGGGGGAGATGGGGAAAGGGACATTGTTGGAGGAGATGGGGAAAAGGGCATGGGAGCGAGTGGGCGGCAGCATCGGTGCGAATTTAAATGGTAAAATACTGTTTCCTGAACTGCGCTGAGGGCATTGCAGCGAGTATTTGCCGCGGCCGCGCGGGCGCGCACCTGGGCCAAGTTTTTCAGCCGCTGAGTTGAGCCTCCAGTTTCAAGGTTTGAACAGAAGACACGTGCCATGACCGTTGGCAACAACGAAGAATGGTGAAGAAAACAAACAGCCAAACAACAATGCAGTTAATCAGAAGAATAGCCCCTGCCCTCTCCACCCCAACGCATTTCCCTTCCCTCCCACTGCCTCCTAGCCAGTGGGCAACTGCAGCAACGAGACGAGGGGCGCCGAAATGAGCTATGAGAGCAATGCTATATCATGCTATGGCAGGAAAAGAGGCGGCAACATAGGGAGGGGGAAAAAGCTTCTTTTGAAAAGCAGTGGCCCTCCATGCGTTGCAACTGCCACACAAATTTAGACATCTGGCCGATATCAAGCGAGAGCCCCTTGTAGCGCTGGCGTAGCTTTCGGTAATCAAGATAAGATGGAGGAAGTCGCAAGCGAGAACAGAAATAGGGCAAACACATTAGCATAAACAAAGGCGGGGGCCTTCAGCTGCACGTCCATATTGTCGGGCCTGGGGGGCTCGGCTCCTCTCCTCCTCCTCCTCCCTTGCCTTCACAAGAGGTGCTCTTTCTCTTCCTCCTCCTACTCCTCCTCCTCCTCCTTCTGGTTTCAGCCTCTCCCTGGAATCCCTGGCAGCCTCCTCCCCTCGCCCTCGCCGTATCCTCCTCAACTCCTCCACCTCTCATCCTGCCCCCTCCTCCTCTGGCAGACGGGGGCGCCCGTCAGTTTGTATTTCCACCCTTGTAGCCATTTGTGCTTAAGTACTGTTTGTGAGCTGAGCTAGCGAGTGGACTCTGCACTGCACTGGATATCGCTGATATCGCATATATTTTCTTGCGCTCACTCGACTCGACCAGACCCGCGCCCGGGGCAGCGACCATGTCGTTGCCGCCTCTTGCATCTCCGGGCTCCAGCAGCGGCGGCGGCGGATCGGCGATCAGCCCTACTGCTGCGGCTGCGGGCCAGGGCAGCCAGACACCTGATGAGCACGCGTCGGTCTACTCCCGCTACCCTGGCTTGTCTGGCAACTTACTCCAGGAGAAGGTGTTCGACGATTGGGCAGTGCCATTGAAAAACACCACGCTCCACTTCTATGACAACCCCGGCGATGTCAAGAAACGGCAGCCTCTCTTGAGCAGGCACCCCATGAACGCCCGCGCCCACGATGCTGTAAAGGAGAAGTACGTTCAAAGTATTTTGACGCAGGGGAACATCTCGGGCGTGCGAGGGTCCCCATGGGCCGTCATGGGGGAGAACGGTGGGTACCTCCTCCTCAGCTACGCGACGCTGACGGAGGCTCTGTACGACGCCGCGGCACGTCAACCCGCCAATCGGCACGTGCTCGAGACCGTCAAGCGCGGTCTGCGCGCGGCCACTGTGTTCTACCCGAGCACTCCGCCAGACGTGCTTCGTTATCTCAAGGAGCTGCACAATGAATTTCACGAGGGAGCCGCTCGCTCGTTCATCGAGCTCTACGACGCCATCCCCGAGATCGAGGCGGGGTGGAAGGACCGCACGAAGGCGGAGGGCTTCACGGCGCGTTCATGCCCTGGGCAGGGAGAGAACACATATGAGAAGCGGTGCGGCAGGTTCGTGCAGAGTATGTATCCCAATTTCTTCCGCACTTACCAGCAGTTTGTGGCCGCGAAGTCCACGTATCACACTTTGGTCAAGATGAACATCTGGTTCGAGTACAAGACTCTCATGACCAAGTACTGCGACTTCCTCTCCCCAGCGCTGAATAACGACGTGGTTCTCGCTAACAATAAGGAGATAGTAATGTTGATGCTCACGCACTTCAACAACACCCTCAACAAAAAGACGTTCGACCTCTGCTTGCTCGAGCTGCTGGAAATGAATGTGCCGCTCTTGGGCGGCTCCGACATGGGCGAGACCGAGCGCGTCTTCACCGCCAGCCCCTGCAAGAACCTGAGGAACATGCTTTGCCCCATGGATAGCAACGTCATGTACCTCAGGACCCGCAGTAGATAGCAGCAATGACGGTGATTATGATGAGGAGTGCGATGGAGGGAGGATGATAGGGGAAGGAGGCCGAGGCCGAGAGGTGAAGGAGGAGGGGGAGGAGGATGAGGATGAGGGGGGGAAGGAGGAGAGGGAGGGAGAGGAAAGGGGAGGAAGGGGGGGGGGCGGCTGGGGGAGGAGCGAGGGGGGCTGCGCAACCCAGGAGCGCCGCCAAGACCGCGGCCGCCGCCATGAAGAGGGCCGTCGAGACCAGCGGCGACGATGTGAGCAAGCGCGCCAAGAAAGAGGAGGATGGCAAGAAGGAGAAGAAGGGCAAGGGGAAGGGGAAGAAGGCCAAGAAGGAGGAGGAGGTGCTGAGTGCAGCAGCGAGCGAGGCCGTGGACGGCGACCGTTGCATGCAGGAGGATGCCTTTAAGACACTTGCCGAAGAGGTGGGCGCTGAGGAGTTGACCAACGTGCTCCCTGCCTTGCCGGGGGGCGAATGCGATGCGGCCGCAGAGCAGCCGACTGATGGGCAGGGTAGGGTTAAGTACTTCTTGGACGACGTGGCGTCGGCAGTCGAGACGGCCGTTCATGGCCTGCCCGAGGTCAACATCAGGGCCATTCCCGTGACCGACGGACTGCACAAGGGCATCAAGTTCGGGATCAGGGCCAAGATCTCGAGGGCGCACCCGACCGAGGCTGGCAAGCTGGTGACGTTAACTGCGTGGTCTGCGGCGCGTGCTGCCATCAAAAAGGACGTGATCGACGCGCACGCCACCATTCTGCGTGATCGGACTTCATCCGACCTCGTGCCTGAGGTCAAGCAGGCCTTGGGCACCGTGGCCGACTCCCGCCCGGAGTGGTTGAAGACGCTGTCGTCGGTGGACGCGGGGGCGAAGGAGAGCTTGGGCATGTATTTGAAAGGTCACACAATCGGCATGCCTCTCTTCGCCCAGGCTTTCTTCGGGGCGATGGTCCAGCACTTGTTCAAGGAGCTGGAGAAGCACCGTGGGGGGGGGGGCATCAAGGAGATGATGGAGGTCGTGGCCACTGCCTTCAACGACGGGGTGGACGACGTCGAAGGCGGCCTGAGGTCCAAGCTCTCCGCCAGCCTGTTCGTGTTGGCGAATTCGGATGACGAGATTCCAGGGGTGCTGAAACCTGTTTTCGCTGACAACGAGACGATGAAAGGCTTTCTCACCTTTCGCACCACCGTGCTTATCCATGCAGGCGGGGCCCTGTTCGCAGGGTTTGGAAGGCTCACAGCTGTCGACTACGCCCCTGCGATCTCGAAGATGATGGAGGTCACCACTGAGATCTCAGCCCTGGACTCGAACGTGGAGTCCAAGCACGAATGGGTCGCACTGTGGTGCAACATCTTCCAGGCTGCCATCTCGGGCAACGTCGCTGAGTATTTGCGGAGCACCCTGCAGGATAAGCAGCAGAAGGCGGCGGCGGCGGCCGCTCAGGCTCAGGCCCAGCAGCAGGGCCAGCTCGTGGTGGCTCAGGGATCGGAAGGGGCCCTCCATCTCGGTCTCAGCCAGGGTCAGAATGCTACTGCTGATATTGTGGACGCCAGCGCAGTCACCTCCTACACGGCCTTCTACAATGGCGCCAAGGGCGTCAGCGATGCGCTCGGCACTGCCGCCGAGCGCGACCTCACCAACGATGTCTCCATCCTGACGGCGCAGGAGATGGCTCTCTTCTGCGAGTTCCTCCAGTATAAGATGATGGAGGCAGCGCTCCAGGGCGGGCTCTACGCAGACTGCGGCTTGGACAACATCACTATGGACCCGTGGGTTCCCGCGAAGGACGTCGAGCTGACGATGGCGAAAGGTCACGGTCAGGGCACGAAGCGAGGATGAGGAGGAGGAGGAAGGAGGAGGGAGGAGGGGGATGGATAAATAGGAGGAGGAGGGAGGAGGAGAGAGGCGGAGCAGGAAGGAGGAGGAGAAGGAGCAGGCTGAGGCAGAGGAGGGGAGGATCAGGTCGTCGTCGTCGCCGTCGTCGTCGTCGTCGTCGTCGTCGGGGCCACCGTCGTCGTCGTCGTCGTGGCGGGGCCCGGGCCCCGGGCGGGCCGCCTCGGCCCCGCGTCGTTCGGCCCGGCGTCGGCCGCCGCCGCCGCGTCGACGTCCGCGTCGGCCTGGCCCCCCTACCTCGCCTCAACTCTCTCTCTCTCTCTCTCTCTCTCTCTCTCTCTCTCTCTCTCTCTCTCTCTCTCTCTCTCTCTCTCTCTCTCTCTCTCTCTCACTCTCTCTCTGTCTCTCTCCCTGTCTCCCTCCTCCTCCTCCTCGTCCTCCTCATCCCCGATCGTCTTCGCATTTATGATGTCTGACTCACCCCCTTCCCTCTCCGTGGGGCCGCGGGGGGGGGAGGGAGGAGAGAGTTCTTATTGTCGCATTCGCCACAGATTCGCAGTTTCTCCTCCTCAATTTCGTCGGCACCATCACCGTGCTGCCGAAGAAGGGCTCCTTCTGGGTCTGCGAGGCTTTCGGTCACGATTTTTACGTGTGCAGCCCAGTCAAGAAGGATGGCGCCAACATCGACCGCTTCATTTTCCCGTCGTGGTACGTTGCCACCGTGGACCCTGAGGATGGCGACGCCCCGGCCACGACGGATGTGAAGACGCGCGAGGTCACGCTTACGTACACGCCCCCTCCTGTGACTGGGGCGCAGCGGGAGGAACCGTTCGATGTCAAGATGACGATGACGTACCTGCAGCTCACCGAGGCTGCCAAGACGGCCCTGACTGAGGGGGGCGTGCCTCTGACGCGGTTCGACGATCTCTCCGACTCCTCTCGCTACGCCGAGAAGTACCAGGTAGAGTACTCGAAAGCTCGCAAGGAGGCTGCGCCCAAGAAGAGGGCGGATTCGAAAAACATGCTGAACCGTAAGGAGTGGAAAAAATCCGCCGCTCAAATTTTCAAGTAGTGGGCGGCGCTCCGACTCCAGTGCCGACTCCAGCTCGTGCGAACGGTCCCCGGAGCGCGGCGGGGGGCCCTCTGGCTAGCAGAGACCCCGAGCCCGAGATAGTTGGATGAGGGAGGGAGGGGATGGGGAAGGGAGGAGGACATAGGAGGACGAGGAGGAAGATGATGAGGATAAGTTTCAGCTTCAGTGTCAAAGTCGGCGAGGCCAGAGCTGCAAGTTGCATGCAAGTGACATGGCTAGTGCGCCCACGAGTGCGACTGTAGCTGTCGCGGACGGGCTGGGGCGGGGGCTATGCGTCTCCGTCCGCCCGCGTTGACACGATGCGCACTGTGGGCGCGCCCTTCTTTTGTACAGCAGTGACAATTAAGCATATCGCGATGCATCCACCACGAGCTAGCTGCAGTAAAAGTTGACTCCATTCTCGAATCTCGATTCTCGAATCTCTTGGAGGGGTCCGAGAGCTCCATTTGAGCGGATATGCTAGGAGGGGCTGAGGAGGAGGAAGAGGAGGAGGAGGCGAGTTGGAGGACGATGAGGAGGAGGAGGAGGAGGAGGAGGAGGAGGAGGGACGGAGAGGAGGAGGAGGAGGAGGAGGAGGAGGAGGAGGAGGAGGAGGAGGAGGAGGAGGAGGAAGGAGAGGGGGAAGAGGCAAGCTAGGTGCGCTCGCGTCAACATCTGACATCCTACCCCTCCCTCCCATCCCTTCCCATTGCGCTATTTCATTGTCTTCTCACCGAATCGGGTGTCGCATCTGACCCTCGCGCCTAGGAGGAAGAGCACGACGACGACGACGACGACGAAGACGACGACAGACGACGACGACGACGCCAGACGACGACGACGACGACGACGGCGGCGACGACGACGACGACGACGACGACGGCGAGTGCGGCGCGGGCGCGGTGCGCCCGTGGAGCGGGGCGCCCGTGGAGGCGCCGAGCCTGGCCAGATCTGAGCGTCCGAAAACCAACCGCGCGCCATCAGTGGAGGAGGGGGAGTATTTTCATATTGAGTAATGGTAGAGGGGGCCCCCGTCGGAACGGCCGTTTACAATCGGACTGTCAAAAACACATATGAAAACCGAAATCGGACCAATCCTGCGTGTAAAAAAACAATACGCGGGGGGGTGCCGAATAACGCCCGCACGCCATCAGGGGAAGAGGGAGAGTATTTTCATAATGAGTAATGGTAGAAGCTTACCCGTCCCCCCGTCCCCGCCGCGCCGCCATCGCCGCCATCGCGACCGCCCGGCGGCCGCGGGCCGGGCCGCGACCGCCCCCCGCGTTTGGGCCGCGGCGGGGTCGGCGGACGTCGTCGACGTGGGTTCTGACGACGACGGCGGCGCCGACGAACGATCGACGACGACGGAACGACGACGACGATCGACGATGTCGACGGCACGGCGATCGACGACGATCGACCATCGACGACTCGACGACGACCACGACGACGACGACGACGACGGCGGCGACGACGACGACGACGACGACGACGACGGACGGCGGCGGCGGCGACGACGACGGCGGCGGCGGCGACGACGACGACGGCGGCGGCGGCGACGACGGCGGCGGGCGGCGGCGGCTGGCCGTCGAGGGGGGGTCCAGGCCCCCAGGAGGAGCCCGCGGGAGGGGCAAGGCCGCCCGCGTTGAGGCCGCGGGGTCGCCGACGCAGTCGCCGACGTCGACTCTGACTCTGACGACGGCGGCGGCGACGACGACGACGGCGGCGACGACGACGACGACGGCGGCGACGACGGTGACAACGACGGCGGCGACGACGACGACGACGACGACGGCGGCGGCGGCGCCAGCGCCGACGCCGACACCGCCGACGACGACGGTTCCCCCGTCTTCCCTTCCCGCTCCGCTCCCGCTTCTCCCACTCCGCAGGCGCCGCCGTCGCGCTCCCTGCGCCGCGCTGCTATCGCTGCCTCGGGGTGCGTGTGCACACATATATATATATATATATGTAGTGGCATATATGCATACACGTATAAATATTCTTGAAGATATCTTAATTACGAGCGCGCATGCAAATATATTTGTGTTCGCCGCATAATCATATGCCGCATATGTGTATACATTATATATATATATATATATATATGCGTCTGTCGACTATATATATACACATATACATATATATATATATATATATATATATGTGCGTGTGTGTGTCCCGAATATATATATATATATATATATATATATATATATATATATAGGTGTGCCGCACATTAATATATGATGGCCCCGATAAATATATACGCCCCGTATATAAATATATTCCGCACCTATATATATATATATATATATATATATCCGTCCAATAGGAATATATTGGATTCAAGAGAAATCGCTCCGTGGAGGTCAACATGGCTGGCATCAACTAGGGATGCTTCTCAACCTTACTTGGGCATATCCCCCTACAGGTGAATTTTGGACGAACAACTCAAAAATAGCAACACAGATTCCAAACATGCTCAATTGTTGTATTTTTGTGTAAAAAAACGTCCCCAGACTGTTGTATATCTATGTCTGAAGATTCCTCCTGTAGAGGGGCACGCCCGACTTACTCTTCGACTCCTCCAGCAGCTGCCGCTCCCACTCCGCCTCGGGCGCCGGCGCCTTCGGCGGCAGCGCGCTCGGGCAGCCGAGCACCTCCACGGACGCCAGCCCGACCTGCCGGAACGGGTTGCCCGCTGGGCCGCCCTGGCACAGCGGCTCGCGGAGCGTCAGCCGCACCTGGGGAAGGCCAAAAGATCCCCCGGGTGCGGTCGGGCATGTCCCCCTACAGGCATATCTTGGTGGACAAATTGAACATACCCCAGAAAATAAGCAAACATGGTTTTCACAAAAAGTCATAGGAACATCGTCCCCAGACTATTTCCTGACTGTTTTTGAATGTTCCTCCTGTAGAGGGGCATGTCCGACTTCAGACCAGAATGTCCATGCGAATCCAGCCGCGGCGGCGAGGGCCTCCCGGGAGGCCCACATGGAGGCGAGAGCGAGGCCAGGAGGAGCGGCAGTGCCCACTTGTTTGCTCATCTATCGCGACAGCGCCCGGGACTGGCCCTAGGTCGGGCATGTCCTCCTACAGTCGGATTTCGGACGATAAATCAAAAATAGCAGCCAACAGAAAATCAAAAGTGATGGACAAAATGCTGGGAAACTCGTCCCCAGACTATTTTTGGACTACGTTTGACTATTCCTCCTGTGGAGGGACACGCCCGACTTACGACTGGCCCCGCCCTCCCCCCCGGCATGGTCACGTCACGACTCGCGCTGGCGTCGTCTGGGCCTCCGCCGTCCCGGAACATTCCCCAGCGGTGCCGGGCGCGCATCGTGACGTCACTGTGGGCCCTCCTTGGTGGGCCCTGGAAGCGACAGGGCCGTCTTTTCGGCGGTGGGCAAACCTCCCTTTAGTGAACCACCCTTTGGTGAAAACTGCCTAGGACCGAAACCGACGGACCTGGACCCACAAAAATGACGGCCCGCGACGCCCTCTCGCGAACCGGAAACGGCCAATTCGCTAATTGACGTGTCAGGGTAGGAAGCCTTTCAACCTCCGATCGTTAACCATTTCCGATTCGCCGTTTGCTTGCCAGTTCCGTCGCCGTTTTTTTCTGTGTCCCAGCTCCGTCGCCGATTTGTTTGGTTCCAGTTCCGGTCCGGCTCCAATCACAGAGCCGTTGTTGTTGCCGTCTCTGGTTGCCGTTGTTCTTTGACATGCCCATTTAGCAGAGACTCTTTGTCGAACGCGGTGAAAAAAAGCGGCACTGCCGTTTCCAGGGCACACTAACGCCGATTATGCCAGGGGGCAAAAAAAAGGCCTCGCATCAGTACCTCTCCCTCCACGCCTAGCGGTGTCGGGCACGTGCTCCTCCTCTGAAGGGATGTGCCGACCCCACCACAAAACATCCGCGCGCGCTTACCTCCGAAGCTCACAGCCACGTCGATGCGACGTTCTCGATTCTCTGTTTCCTCGAGCCTCGAATGCTCCTCGATCCAGCTCGATCCTCGAACCCTCCAAGGGTTACTTGGATGGCCGCGGGGGATGCTAAGAGGATATGGGGCGCGCGGATTCGAGAAACCCGCGCGAACCTCAGAATTTGTATGTTTATGTCATTATTCGTTCCCCTAGATCGGGGTCCCAAACCTAGACCCCCTCGCGCTGGGGGGGGTGCATATAATGGCGGGGGCCATGATATTTCCGCAGATTTTATGGCGCCTCTTCTTTCGGGGATGGACAAACCTCCCTGTAGTAAAACGTGGTCTAGTGAAAACGACCTGAGGCCCAAACCTGACGGGCGCAAGCCTGGAAAATAACGGCCGCGGCGCCCTCTCGAGAACCGAAAACGGACAATTCACTAATCGACGTGTCACTGTTGGGGGTGCTGTCCACCCCCGATTCTTATCTCATTACACTCCCGGCCCCCCCGCTGGGCTAGATCCGCGCGGACCTCCGAGTTTTTATCACTTTTCGTTCCCCTATACGATCTCCCTCCCCCGTCGTGAAGGAGGTCTGGGTTTTTGAGGCCCTGGAGGGGGGCGTCCAAGAGGGGGGGGCGCAAAGCATGGCCGGCGGCACGTGCGCGGCCCAGCGGGGGGGGGGCAGAGACATATTGAAACAAGAAGGGGTGCCATGAACTCTGGGAAGATATCGCGGCCCCCGCCACGACATCCCCCCCCCCTAGTCCTCACCCCCCTCTTGGCCGCCCCCGCGGCGATTCTTTCACAACGCAAGGGGGTCTGGGCTTGGAGCGAAACTCGCACCATTCGCCAGCTGGTTGTCATCCCTCCTTCCTCCTTCCTCCTCCTTCCTCCTCCTCCTCCTGCTGCGCACGTTGTGATTTATGCGACCGCCGTCGTGCCGCCGCTTCCGCAAAGCGGTGAGGATAGGCTGGCTCTGTCCTCTTTTCGCCCACGCGCTCCGGCGTATGGCAGGAGTGGGTGCGTGAGTGAGTGATCTCCCCCCCCCTAGCCCGCGCCTGGCCGGAG